GGCCCCTGCTCGCCTACTAGCCCCAGCTCGCCGTGCCGGCCTTAGCTCACCGCACCGGCCCCTGCTCGCCGCGCCGGCCACTGCTCCCCTGCTCCCCTGATCGCCGCTCCGGTCCCCAGCTCGCCCCGTCGGCCCCTGCTCCCCTGCTTGCCCGACTTTGGCCACACCAGTCACACCGCCACCCGCTACTACCGCCGTCTCGACAACCTCTTCCGTCTCCGCTTCGGCCCCACACTGGACCTCTGGACTGGCCCAGCCTGATACGTCGTCGTGTGCCAGTCTTTGAGATGGATATGGATCAGATAGGATCTGCTATGTATGCTATGTATGCTAATGACTCTAGTGTTACTTGACCCTATTACTCTGCTGTGCCTAGACTAGGAGCTTCTGACTAGGCTCTCCCTCCTTGCCTAGTGCAGACCCTCCTGACTTGTGGAGCCTTGGTTCCACGCTTGCGACCCCGCCGGCGTGGAGCCGACAAGACTCGGGTGCAAGCGTGGAACCAAGGCTCCACAAGTCAGGAGGGCCGGATTGATGCTTGCACCCACCCGTCGCTACTGTGGCACCACCGTCTAGGTCACCCCGCTCTCCCATGTCTCTGTTACATGTCACAACACGATCTTGTCTTAAATCTCCCCGCGTCACTACCTGCCCTCCCTCCCTCACCCGCGCCTCCGTGCACGCCTTCCGTCGAGGGGCGGCAGGGCGCTGCTCCTCACTCCTCTTCATTTCCCCCCACCACTGCGCCACTCCAGACCCTGCCCCTGGACGTCTGGGGCCTAGCCCCAGTCCCTGGGCTACACCGCGAGCGCTAATTCTTGGTTCTCATGGATGACTGCTCGCGCTACACCACGAATTTTCCCTTGGAGTAGAAGGCTAACGTGCCTAACGTTCTTTTCCCATGGCTTGTAGTTGCTCGACTCCACCACGCCTAGCCTGTGCTCCGTCTACACTCCGACCGTGGAGGCGAGTTTGCCTCTGGTCGGCTTGGCCATTTCTGTCGTGCGGAGGGCATCACCCAGTCGTAGACACTCCCGGAGTCCCCACAGCAGAATGGGATCGCTGAGCGATGCATCGGCTTGGTGATGCCGGTGCACCCCATTTTCTGTGGCCGTTTGCAGTCCGCTACGATGCCCACCAGTTGAACCTGTGGCCCCGCGCTTCGCGCCCGCAGGTTTCGCCGACCCTCCATTGGATCAGGTCCCCAGGTGACGCGTCTGCGTTTCACATCTAAGGCTGCCTAGCCCACGCCCGTGACTCTCGCGCGAACAAGCTCACTGCCCGCAAAGTCCCTTGTGTCTTCCTTGGTTTCCCCCTCGACTCTTCTGACTGCACTTTTACCAACCGTCGTCTCATAGTTTCCTCCACTTACGTGACGTCACCTTTGACGAGTCTGTCTCCTTCTAGACCCGATTCTCCCACCGAGGTCTCTATGTTACCCCACCCTTGTTCCTTGTCGCCACTCCCTCGGTAGCTCCCGCTCCCCTCCCTCCACGTCTGGCCCCGTCTGGTGTGTCTCACGTCACTCCCCATCCCTCAGTTGGCCTGGCAGAGGAGTCTGCTAACTCCGGAGGTCCTGGGGCTCCGGCTGCACCGTGTGTTTCTGCGGCGCCTGCGCCTCCGGCCCCGGTGGCTCCACTGCCACAGCAGCAACAGCAGCCGCAACAGCAGCAGTAGTTGCCACAGCCGCATCAGCAGGAGCCGGTGGGCTTTGGGGGTGTTGGCACTAGGGGTGCTGGTTCCGAGGGGAGTGCTAATTTTGGGGGTGCTAGTCCTGGAAATGCTGGTCCTGAAGATGCTGTCTCGGCGAGTCTCGGTGGTAGCCACGATTGGGCTGGAGGTCTTGGTGTGTGCATGGAGCTGCAGCAGCACGAACAGCCGGTGTCTGCCCTTCGCCTTGTTGGTCTTCCCTTCGCGTCCCCCGACCGACCGCCCGCGCTCCCCCAGCGCTGCCTCCTCCTCCTGTCTATGGTCCCGTGTTCCCTTCGCCAGACTTGTCTCCAGCCCATTTCCCCCCTCGTTCTCCTCCTTTGTCTCCTCCTTTGTCTCCTAACCCGACGTCTCCCTCCCATTTCTGGTCTCACCGTCCCTCCCCTACTCGCCCTGCAACTCCCGCTCCGAGTGTCCACCCTATGTTTCTTCGTTCTCACGCATCTTGTGCTCCTTCCGCTCTTGTTCTCCCGTCGCCTCCTCAGTCATCCCTCGCTGTCTCCTCTCCTCATCTCTCCGACCTCCTCCGTGCTACTCGCCCTCTTGTCCCTTGTGTCATAGCCTCTCTCGTTACCGACCCAGTCTCCAGTCTCTCGGATCTTGTCGCTGCCGTCGCTGACTTTGCCTTGAGGCATGAGCTAGCTTTCCTCACGGAGGCCGCTCCTCATCTCTACTCCATACTGCTAGCCCCTGAGGGTGACCCAGATGCCCTTGACATCCCGACCCCTTCAATCTGCGCTGAGGCAACTACGGGACCCTGGGCTTCTCAGTCGATAACTTCCTTGGATGTAGAGATGGCGTCTTGGAGATCCACCGGCACATACGTCGACGCAGTTCCCCCACCTGGGGCGAACGTAGTCGATGGCCGGTGGCTCTTCAAGGTGAAGCGCCTGCCTGGAGAGCCGCTGGTGTTCAAGGCATGCTACGTTGTTAGAGGCTTCAGTCAGCGCAAGGGGGTGGACTTCTTCCAGACCTTCGCCCCCACCCCGAAGATGACCACTCTTCAGGCACTGCTTCACGTAGCAACACAACTCGACTAGGAGCTCCAATCTCTTAACTTATCTACTGCGTTCCTCCACACCGACTGCACGAGCAGATCTACCTGCGCCGTCCGCCAGAGTTCACTGACTCTTTCCCTCCTGGGACCCAGTGGTTCCTCCGGCTCCCCGTCTACGATCTCCGGCAGGCGCATTGGAGTGGCACGCCATGCTGCGAGCTATACTAGTGGACCTCTAGTTCTTTCCGCCTTCTGCTGCCCGTTTCTCTTCGTTCGCTCTGGCCATACTCCGTTCTACATCCTAGTCCACGTAGACGACATGGTCTTTGCTACTACAGACAGAGACGCACTAACCTTGGTGAAGACCGAGTTGCTGAGGAGGCACACATGCATTGACCTAGGAGAGCTGCACTGCTACCCTGGGCTGCAGATCTCCAAGGACAGTAGCGCGCACCATTACTCTCTCACAATCATACTTGGTGTGCCACATCCTTCAGAGTTTCGGCCTTCAGTTCTCCTCTGCACAGCCCATCCCTCTGCCAGTGGATCACAGGCTCTCAGCTTCAGTCCTTGACGAGCCGGTCGAGCCCAGTGATCACTACACAGAGCTCGTGGGCTGCATCATGTACCTGATGACCTGCACTAGCCCAGGCATCGCATTCTCTCCTAGTATCATCGCACGATTTGTTGCGACTGGAAGACACCGGCCTCAGCACTAATTGACTGCCAAGAGCGTGTTGCGATATCAGGTGAGTACATCAGGCTTGGGGCTAGTGCTGGGAGGGCGCAGGCCAGTGGTTCTCACATGATACATAGACGCTTCGTGGGCGGACGACGCTGAGATGCTCAAGTCCTCTCAGGGCTACTGCTTTTGCCTTGGTGCATGCGCCATCTTGTGGAAGTCCACCCCCTCGTCGTCTCTCGCACAGTCTAGCTGTGAGGCTGAGTTCTACACTGGTGCCATAGCGGCATAGGAGCTCCGTTGGATGGCGTTCTTGTTCACTGACTTAGGTGAGCGGCCTAGCTCTGCCCCGGTCCTGTACGCTGACAACAGGACGATGATCCCCCTGTGTCAGGAGCCTCGACTAGAGGGCAAGGCGAAGCACATCTAGCTGCGGTACTTCCTCTAGCGCGAGCTACAGCAGCGCGGCCAGGCATGCGTAGTACACTTGGCCTCCGGTGCCAACACAGTTGATATCTTTTCTAAGGCACTAACGCCTAAATATCATTAGCGGCACTGTTTACAGCTTGGTCTAGTACCTGTAGCTTCTCACTTGCTAGGATCCTGACTTGTGTACTCCTTATTATATTTTCTTGCCTGTCTATACCGTAATCCCCCGTATAAAGCACCCTATGGTGTTAATAAAAGTGCATGAAAATTTTGGGATGGATGTAATTTAAGGCAAAAAAAATATAACACCCAGGAGCTGTGGAACATGCATATGGCATTCCCAATTGGAATTCAAATGTGCATGTTTCACCACCTTCATTTGAGTCAAACGACGACTTTTGTTCACCACATCGCGTATCTGACGGTGTGGCCCAGTTGCATGCCACAATCGGCAGTGAACGTGCAGAGTCAAGGAGACAGCGAGTGCAGCAGGCGTGACCTGTGTCCTGATGAGTGCCGGCCGATTTCCCGACCAGTAGGAGGAACCCGGAAAATCGTTCGCGTTTTTTTTTTTTTTTTTTTTTTTTTTTTGGATTTTAAATAGGGCAGATTTCGGATCTTCTACCTGAATACCCGCAGCACAGTAGCAGTAGCTCATTTTCCCCACTCCCGCAAATGTTGATACCGTTGGCACAGCAGGAGAGGGAAAAATAACGGCAGTACACATCTTCACATCGCAAATTCTTGTGTTTCTTGAAAAAAAAAAGCATTCTAGGCGGCAGGGGGGTGTTCAAATGTTTTCACATCCCATTGTAGGGTGTTGTGTACATCCAGAAAAATTAAACACCCATACCCGCTCAAGCTACCCGGGGGAGCTTAATTCCGGCGGGTGTTTTTTTCGGGGGATTACGGTACTTGCTGACTAGCCTTGTGGCTCTTGTCTTAGAGGCTGGACTACTAGTGCCGCCTTGAGTTACTCTGGTTGAGTTCGTACTCTTGCTGGCTGGTCTTTGGATCCCTGTCTCAGAGGTTGGACAAGTTGTGCCGCCCTGAGCTGCGTGTCTCTTGCTAGGCACTGCCCCTTATCTAGCCTAGGGGGTGTATCAAATGTGCAATATGTAGCAGGCTAGACAGGTTCGTGCTCTAAGAGAGTACCTACTGTTAAAGTAAGAACTGAATAATGAACTAGAAGGAGAAACCTAGAACAAATACTAGTTGGTTGTACTCACTAGGAGCATACCTCAGTCTAGCCTATAACTTCTACATAGCTAATATGTATAAGTTGACACACCCCCTAGGCTAGACAAGGGGTGAGGCTAAGCAAGAAGCAAACAGCTCAGGGTGGCACTACTAGTTCAACCACTGAGGCAGGGGTCTGGAGACCAGTCAGCAAGAGTACAAACAAGACTAAAGCAAGCCAGGGCGGCACTACTAGTCCAGCCACTGGAGGTAAGGCCACAAGGCCAGTCTGACAGGTATATATAATAGAGAGTACACAATCAGGATCCTAACAGCTGAGTAGCTACAGGAACAAGACCAAGCTGTACACAGTGCCGCTGATGATCTTTAGGCGCAAGCGCCTTAGTAAAGATATCAGCTTTGTTGGCACCTGAGGCCAAGTGAACTACGCGGGCCTGGCGGCGCTGCTGTAACTCGCGCAGGAGGAAGTACCGCAGCTGGATATGCTTTGCTCTGCCCTCAAGCCGAGGCTTCTGACACAGGAGTATCATTGCCTTGTTGTCAGCGTACAGGACTGTTAGGATTAAGGACGGAGTCTAGGTGAACTTAGGAGCTAGAATTACTCAAAATATAAATCCGAAATTCTGGACAGAAAAGTCGTCTTCACAAGAAACGACGTCGACAAAAAACAAGCCGTTGGAATGTCACGAAACTCGGATATGTTGTAGCTGATAATGTTAGCTACCATTCTCAATTTGAATCACGGGGATTGATGAAGTATTCGCGACACTATGGCTTTCGACGCACTAGGGGGTAAGCTGTAGGAGGAGAACTTAACTCAATCTCAAAAGTTCTATCAAAGTTCAAGAATCTCACAAGGAATTGGAGGAGCAAGAGAAAGGTTGGGATAGAAGAGAGGGATGAGAGGGAAGGTCCCAAGAGAGTCCCCAACCAAGGAAACCCCATAAGCACAAAGATTCCCTCCCTATAGAACCCCAACTTTGACATTTGTCCCTTCCCAACCAATCCATCCAAGTTGGCCACCCTTGCCAACCTAGCTTGGTTGTTCCCAACCAATTTGCAGCTGTTACAGTAGAGTGACGAATTTCTCCAACCCCAAAGGTCCCAACTCCATATAAAGTCACCCCACAACTTCACTTTGTAACCGCCGCAATTGTAACGCAAGCTCATGAACTTTGAAACTTCATAGCTTTCGCGTTCTTGCTCCGATTGAAGCGATTCTCGTTGCGTCGGAAAGATCTTCTCAAGATCTATCATCACAAAATACCTGCTCAAACAAAATAACACAAAACACATTCCCAAACTCCAGAACACACCACACACAAATTATTGCACACGTTCAAATCACACATGCAAGTTGAAAATATGGGATGGGAGGCAGACAGAATGTGATAGCATGTGATGACATCACACAACAATCTCCCCCTCTGGCTGCCAACCATCATCCACCATACCAACATCTCAAGCATGCATACTCAATGCACACTCATCCCAGCAAGCTTCATGCCCTTCCAATGATCCGCCTCTGCCAGATGCTTAGTGAAAATATCTGCTGCTTGCTGATGGGTCTTCACTATCTCCAGCCACACCTCCTTATCAAGGAGTCTTCTCACCCAATGCCACTTAGGCCTTATGTGTTTTGTCAGCCCATGCAGACAAGCATTCTTGGCCAGCTTCACTGCAGACTCATTGTCACAGAACACAACTGTCGGCTCCTCCTGACCAACTCCCAACTCCTCCAACAAGCGCCTCAGCCACACCACTTCCTTGGCCCCATGGTGTAAGGCCATGTACTCAGTCTCACATGAGGACAATCCCACCTCATTCTGCTTCTTGCTGCGCCAGCTCACAGCACCACCTCCCAGCAAGCACACATAACCCCCAATGCTGGTGCCATCCGCTTTCACTGAGTTGAAGCTAGCGTCAGTATAGCAACTCAAGAGCATCTCTCCACTCTTCACATCTGCAGCACCTCTCTGCAACCGCTGCCTCACTCCACTGTACTCCAATCCCACTGATGCAGTAGCGCTCACATAGCGGACCAACCTCTTGGCCGCTTCCAGCTGCTCATGACTAGGGCGTGAGACCACACTAGCCAACCGTGATGTAGCAAATGCAATGTCAGGCCGTGTATGATTTGCAGCATAATTTAGCAACCCAACCATCAAATGAAACAGCTTCCTGTCACTCTCACCCACTACCTCCTCATCAGCACATGGCTCCACAGTAAACCCCGAAGGTAGTGGTGTTGCTGGCTTTCCCCCATCTTGCAGCCCATACTTCTCAGCCAGCCCCTCACAGTACTTCCTCTGGTGCAACCTCAGCACACCCTTTTCCACATCTCTCTCCACATGCATCCCCAGGTAGTACTTCATCTCACCCATCTTGGAACACTTGAACTGCATCTCCAGCATCTGCTTTGCGCTGTCCAGCAAAGCAGTTGATGCAGAAAAGAGAAGGATATCATCCACATACACCAAGAGCATGAGGATTTCATCCTTCTCCTGCAGCAGGAACAGGCTGGGGTCACACTCACTCTTCTTGAAACCCCCAGCCAACAACGCCTCCTCCAACTTGTGATACCATGCACGAGGCGCCTGCTTAAGGCCATAAATGGCCTTCTTTAGCCTGCAGACCCTGCCGCTCCCATCATCCAGCCCCTCTGGCTGCTTCATGTACACCTCCTCCAGAATGATCCCATTCAGAAAGGCTGTCACAATGTCCATCTGCCGAATCTTCCATCCCAGGAGTGCAGCTATCGCCAACAGCACCCTCAGTGTTGTTCCTTTCCCCACAGGAGCAAACACCTCATCATAGTCCTTCCCCTTTGTCTGCTGAAACCCCCGTGCCACAAGCCTAGACTTGTAGCGGGTCAGCTCCCCTTCAGGTCCATACTTGTGCCTGTAGATCATCTTGGAAGTGATTGCCTTCTTCCCAGGAGGCAAGTCACACAGGTCCCATGTCTCGTTCTCAATCAGGGACCCGAACTCCTCATCCTCACTCGCCTTCCACTTCTCCCCATTTGGTCCATTCAAGGCCTCCTCTCGAGTCTTGGGCTCAGGGATTGGTGCCCAGTAGCAGTGAGCGATCTCATCTTCCTTAATCTGCTCAACCACACTCCCAGCCTGCACCACATTCGGCTTGCCTCTTCCCCCATAGGTCAGCCTCACAGGAGGGCGCACATCCCTCCTAGGTCGCTCAGGCGGGTGTGGAACTCGAGGTGGAGACTCATGCTGCTGCTGCTGCTGCTGCTCCACTTCAGCTGCTCCCCCTTCTTCAGTCACCCCAGACATCTCCTCCTCAGACACTGCAACCTCCACCTGCCTTGAAGGCTGCTGCAACTCATCTGCCTCCACAATTAGCGGTGTAGATGGAAGCTTCTGTTGCTGCTGCTTCCATTCCTTGTAGTACAGGGACTCAAGAAACTTCACATCCCTTGACACTGTCAGCTTCTGGGTGGTCAAGTCCCATAGCAGCCATCCCTTGTGATCCTTTGCAATCCCCAAGTGCACACCCCATCTTCCAGAAGCCTCCAACTTCCCCCTTTTCTCCTTAGGCACATGAAACACCACCATGCACCCAAATGCCCTCAGCATGTTCACAGCTGGAGCACTCCCATACCACTTGGTATATGGGATCCACTCCTTATCCCCAACTGTAGCCAGCACCCTGTTCTTCACAAGGGCGACCTGCCTCAGTGCAGACACCCAAAACGGATCAGGCAGCCCTGCACGCCCAAGGAGAGTGCGTGCCCCCTCCTGCAAGGTCCTGTTGAACCTCTCAGCCACGCCATTCTGCTGCGGGTTGTAGGGCACTGTCAGTTGATGTTGGATCCCCTTCCTCTTCAACTCTCCCTCAAAATCAGCTCCAATGAACTCCTCACCATTGTCACTGCGGATCACCTTCACCTTGTGTCCGCATTCCCTCTGAGCTCTAGGCATCCACTCCTTAAGGACAGCCGCTGCCACCTCCCCCTTGCTCTTCAAAGGGTAAACCCACACTGCCCGAGTGTGGTCATCCACAATTGTCAAGAAATAGCGGCTGCCTGAGAGGAAAGGGGCTCTTGTGGGCCCCACCACATCCATGTGCACAAGTGCAAGTGGGGTCTTGGCTGGTCCTGTAGTGCTGTTGAAGGGGAACTTGGAGAACTTGGTCTCCAAGCATGTAGGGCAGCTCCCAATCTCCTTCACTCCCCCTTTCACCTCCAAGCCCTTCAGGCTCCCATCCTTCACCAACTTCTGCAGTATAGGGAAGTTCACATGACACAGCCTCTCATGCCATGTCTCCCAATCGGCCTCACCACTCCTTGATGAAGCCTTAGCCCATGCCGCACTCACATCCACACCAGCAAGCACCTCACCATGTGTCTGCTGCTGCTGCACTTTCTTGACTGCTTCCAGGACCCCATCAGTTGGTGTAGTTGCATCTCCTCCTGCTGTTGCCTTTGCCGCTGCTGCCGTTGCTGCCGTTGGAGTCTTCCCATTCCAAGGGATGATGGGCAGCTGCCATAGGTCCTTGATGCAGCTGGTCTCCTCTTCCAGACTCCACAACACCTTCTTCCCAAGCTTAGCACGGCAGCTGGTTGGTCCAAAGGTCACTTCGGCCTTGCTCTTCTGCAGTCGCCGCACAGAGAGAAGGTTAGCAGACAAACCTTCAACCAGCAGAACATTCCCAAGCCCCACAAGCTCCCCATTAGCTCCCTTAACCTTGGCATTCCCAACACCAATGACAGGGAGCAAAGCACCTGACGCTGCTGCCACATACTTAATTTTCCCAGGGGGTTTTACCTCATCAAGCAAATCTGCCCGTGGGGTCATGTGACTGGTGCAACCTGAGTCAATTACCCAGTGCGTGAGAGGGTGCATCACAACCTTTCCCACAGATCCCACATCACCCTCATGCCCATGCACATCCTCAACCATGAGAAACATCCCAGGATAGGCATTACCTTATGCACCTTCACCTTGTGCACCTGAGCCTTGCACAGCGCCACCTTGTGCGCGTTCACCACTGGGCGGCTTCATGCCTGGAGGTGCCCATCCCTCCGGCCTGCTGAAGCACTTGAACCAAGGATGCCCGACCTTCTTGCAGTACCAGCAGGTGCCCTCCATTCTGGTACTCCCCCTGCCACTGGAGCTCCCATGCCCCTCATTATAGTCACCTCGGCCTCTACCTCTGCCAAAGCTCCTCCCACGGCCTCGGCCTCTCCAACCCCCTCTTCCTCTGCCACGCCCTGCAGCTCCATACCCCTCAGCAGTCTTAGTAGACGCACCACCTCCCACATGGCGTCTGCGGAAGTCCTCCTGCAAAATCTGCTGCCTTAGCCACTCAGGTGTCCATTGATCTTGCTGAGAGTTGAGAGTGGGGATGAGGTTGTCCCAAGTGTTGTCCAACACCGAGATGATCTTGGTGCATTGCTGCAGCTGAGATACACTGCTGCCCGCTGCTGCCATCCTTGCATAGGTGTCCTTGATCTTGTCAAGGACCGGCTTCACATCGTCCCCTTGTCGCATGGAGATGGCAGCAAGTTCCTTCTCGAGCACGATCACCATCGGGAGAGTGTTGGGCTAAATCACATCGCGTAGTAGTTTCCACGCCCTTGGACCCGAATCATCCGCTTCCACAAGATCCTTGATGTGCTCGAACATCTCCTTGTTGACCGATTGAAGGATGAGGTCGAAAAGCACCGCGCTTTTCTCAATCCACCGTTCACGTGCTTCGTCTTCTTCCGGTATCTTCTCTTCCCCAACAGCAATCTTCAGTAGCTTGTAGCGTTTGAAGGCACTCCTCATCCGACCGCTCCATTCCTCATAGTTGGAGCCATCCAAAGCTTCAACTTTTGATGGCGGCGGCTCACTTGTCTTCTCAGCTACAGCTCCTCTTCCATTAGCATCTCCTCCTTTCTCATTCATCTTCTCCTTGAGAAATGACGAATTTCAGCTCCCCTTTGCTGTCCACACTCAGCTCCCTCGATATTTTCACAAGTGTCGGCGTCCACGAAATTTCGGCAGAGTTTCCCCTTAGCGGAAGACACATCCAACCTTTAGAACACCACTTAGGCACACCCACAGGCCATGGTGGGTCTAGAAGGGTCTTCAAACTTCTGTAGACTCCTCTCAATGTCCTTAATATCGCTCTGATACCACTTGTTACAATTAAGGACGGAGTCTAGGTGAACTTAGGAGCTAGAATTACTCAAAATATAAATCCGAAATTCTGGACAGAAAAGTCGTCTTCACAAGAAACGACGTCGACAAACAACTAGTCGTTGGAATGTCACGAAACTCGGATATGTTGTAGCTGATAATGTTAGCTACCATTCTCAATTTGAATCACGGGGATTGATGAAGTATTCGCGACACTATGGCTTTCGACGCACTAGGGGGTAAGCTGTAGGAGGAGAACTTAACTCAATCTCAAAAGTTCTATCAAAGTTCAAGAATCTCACAAGGAATTGGAGGAGCAAGAGAAAGGTTGGGATAGAAGAGAGGGATGAGAGGGAAGGTCCCAAGAGAGTCCCCAACCAAGGAAACCCCATAAGCACAAAGATTCCCTCCCTATAGAACCCCAACTTTGACATTTGTCCCTTCCCAACCAATCCATCCAAGTTGGCCACCCTTGCCAACCTAGCTTGGTTGTTCCCAACCAATTTGCAGCTGTTACAGTAGAGTGACGAATTTCTCCAACCCCAAAGGTCCCAACTCCATATAAAGTCACCCCACAACTTCACTTTGTAACCGCCGCAATTGTAACGCAAGCTCATGAACTTTGAATCTTCATAGCTTTCGCGTTCTTGCTTCGATTGAAGCGATTCTCGTTGCGTGGGAAAGATCTTCTCAAGATCTATCATCACAAAATACCTGCTCAAACAAAATAACACAAAACACATTCCCAAACTCCAGAACACACCACACACAAATTCTTGCACACGTTCAAACCACACATGCAAGTTGAAAATATGGGATGGGAGGCAGACAGAATGTGATAGCATATGATGACATCACACAACAAGGACCGGGGCAGAGCTAGGCCGCTCACCTAAGTCTGTGAGCAAGAAGGTCAGCCAGCGGAGCTCCTGTGCCGCCATGGCGCCAGCGTAGATCTCAGCCTCACAGCTGGATTGAGCAACAGACGACGAGCGAGTGGATCTCCAAGAGATAGCACCCGAACCAAGGCTAAAATAGTAGCCCTGCAACGACCTCAGCGTCTCAGAGTCGTCTGCCCAAGAAGCGTCTGTGTGCCCAGTAAGGACCACTAGCCTGCGTCCTCCTAGCACTAGCCCCATGCCCGATGGACTAGCAAGTTCACGCAAAACCCTCTTAGCGGCAGACCGGTGCTGAGGTCGGTGTCTGCCTGTAGCCACAAAGCGAGCCAGGATGCTGAGAGGGTATGCGAGATCTGGACGAGTGCAAGTCATCAGGTACATGAGGCAACCCACCAGCTCTGTGTAGGGGCCACTGGGCTCTACTGGCTCCTTAGGAACGGGAGCGGAGAGCCCATGGTCCACAAGTAGAGGTGTGGGTTGTGCGGAGGAGAACTGAAGACCGAACCTCTGAAGGACCTGACGCACCAAGTGTGACTGTGTCAGAGTGATGGTGCGTGCTGCTCTGTCCCTAGAGATCTGCAGGCCAAGATAGTGACGCAGCTCTCTAAGGTCAGTGCAGGTGTGTCTCTTCAGCAGCTCGGCCTTCACAGAGGCCAGCGCGTCCGTGTCAGTAGTAGCGAAGACCAGGTCGTCTACATAGACAAGGATGTAGAACGGAGTCTGGCCGGAACGCACAAACAGCGAGGGGTCAGCAGAGGACGGAAAGAACTGCAGGTCTGCTAACGTGGCATGCAGCGTGTCGTGCCACTCGTGGGGAGCCTGACGCAGACCGTAGACCGGGCGCCTGAGAAGCCACTAGGTCGTAGGGGGGAAGGTACCAGTGAAGCCCTGTGGTCGGCGCAGGTAGACCTGCTCGTGTAGGCTGCCCTGAAGAAAGGCAGTAGAGAAGTCGAGGGAGTGAAGCTCGTAGTCGCGCTGTGCTGCTACGTGTAGCAGCGCTCGAAGAGTGGTCATCTTCGGGGTCGGGGCGAAGGTCTGGAAGAAGTCAACCCCCTCGCGCTGACTAAAGCCTCTGGCCACGTAGTGCGCATTGAAGACAGGCGGCTCTCCAGGGGGGCGCTTCACCTTGAAGAGCCACCGACCATCGACTACGTTCACCCCAGGTGGGGGAACTGCGTCGATGTAAGTGCCGGTGGACCTCCAAGATGCCATCTCCTGCTCCATGGCAGCTATCAACTGAGAGGCCCAAGGTCCCGAGGTGGCCTCAGCGTAGGTGCGAGGGGTCGGGATGTCGAAGGCGTCTGGGTCACCCTCAGGGACTAACAACATGGAGCAGAGATGGGGAGCAGCCTCGGAAAGGAAAGCAAGCTCGTACTGCCTGTCCCCTAGGACGTCACTGCCAAGGGCAGGAGCACCCCCGGCGGACGGAGGACAGGCAGGGTCAAAGACCAGAGCGGTAGCGTAGTCAAGGCGATGGGTGGAGGCGAAGTCAGCGACAGCAGCGACAAGCGCGTCAAGGCGCGAGACAGGAACAGAAGGGTCGGTAACAAGAGAGGCAAGGACCCGAGGGACAAGGGGACGAGCGGCATGGAGGTAGTCGGAGAACGGAGGAGGTGCAACAGCAAGGGACGAGGGAGGAGGGGACGAGAGGAGGGGAGGACGAGACGAGTGGGAACGGAGCAACATAGGGTGGGAGCGCAGGACAGGAGAGACGGGACGAGCATGGGAGGGACGGCGAGACCAAACGTGGGACGGAAGTGTAGGGTCAGGGGACAGCGGAGGGGACACAGATGGGGGAACGAGGAGGAAGACGGGCTGGAGACGAGTCTGGCGGCGGGAACACAGGACCGTAGACAGGAAGGTCAGCAGGCGGTGGGGGAGACACCGGCGAGCGGTCCGGGGAGGGAAGGCCGAGCAGGCGGAGAGCGGAGACCAGTGGCGACGGCTGCTGTGGCTGCTGCGACGGCTGTGCCAGAACCCTCGGGCCGGCAATGGCAGGACGACCGTCGGCAGAACCCTCAACAGCAGCACCCCCAGAACCAACACCCCCTGAGCGAGAACCCCCTCCAGCACCGGCGGCACCCCCTGGAGCCGCTCGACGAACACCCTCCTCCACACTAGCACCCCCAGGGGCCAAGAGCAGCGACGACGGCAGCGGCGGCGACGGCGGCGGCGGCTGCGGCGGAGGCGGCGACTGCGAGAGTGGAGGCGAAGACACAGGGAAAGGGGGACGCGGCAAGGACGAGCCGGGGGTACCACCAGAGTCAGCAGACTCCTCAACGGGGACAACCGCTGGGAGGGGAGTGACGTGAGAGACACCAGACGGGGCAGGGCGAGGCGGGAGAGGAGCAGGGGCTACCGGGGGAGAGGGAGCCAGGAACAGGGGCGGGGCAACCGGGAGACCGCTGTGAGGGAAGCGGCGGAAGAAGGAGACAGACTCGTCAAAGGTGACGTCACGAGAGTGAAGGAAGCGGTGAGATGGCGGGTGGTAGAAAAGCCAGTCAGACGAGTCCAGGGGGAAACCGAGGAAGACACAGGGGACAGTGCGGGTAGTGAGCTTGTCCGTGCCAGAGGCACGAACGTGAGCAAGGCAGCCCCAGACATGGAACGCAGACGCGTCACCCGGGGACCCGGTCCAAAGGAGGGTCGGCGAAACCTGCGGCCGCTGGGAGCGTGGCCACAAGTTAAGCTGGTGAGCAGCGTAGCAAACAGCGAATGGCCACAGAAAATAGGGGGCATCGGCATGAATCTTGGAGGTACGGGCGACCTCCATGACCAAGCCGATGCGGTGCTCAGCAACCCCATTCTGCTGTGGCGAGTCCGGCAAGGTGTACGACTGGGTGATGCCCTCCGCACGAAAGAACTGTCCAAGCCGACCAGAGGCGAACTCGTCGCCACGGTCAGAGTGGAGACACAACACGGGGAGACCGCGGTGAAGACGCGCAGCCACAACCCACGGGAGAAGAACGTCGGGCACGTCGGCCTTCCGCTCCAGGGGAAACACCATGGTGAAGCGCGTGTAGTCGTCGACGAGCACAAGGAAGTAGCGCTCACCTCGCGGTCAGGGGACGGGGGTAGGGCCCCTAAACGTCCAGGTGCAGGGTCTGAAGGGGGGCAGTAGCAGGGCGCAGCGAGGAGGAGTGAGGAGCACGGCGGAGCCGGCCCTCGACGCAAGGCGTGCACGGTGGCGCAGTCGAGGGAGGAAGGGTAGGGAGCGACGCAGGGAGACCTAAGACAAGACCGTGCTGGGACATGTGACGCAGACGTGGGAGAGCAGGGTGACCTAGGCGGTGGTGTCAGAGAAGGGACGGGTGAGTGAGCGTCTGACACGAGCAAGCTGCAGCGACCTGGGAGGACGCACCAACCGGGGGGGAAGCGGTGTCGAGGGTAAACAGACCGGACACCGGGTCCCGGGGGAACGTCGCAAGGGGGGAACCTGACACAGCCTCTGAACAGATAGGGAACCGCTCGTGCCCGGGGAACGTGGTGGTGACGCCGAGGTCCTGGAGACAGCCGACACCAACCAGGTTCCTCGAGAACGAGGGAACATGGAGGCCTGTAAGGGAGCTCGAGGGAACTGCTGGACAGGGAAGGGACGTAGACCTGCGAGCGACGACAGGACCCGCAGAGGGGTCAGCGAGAGAGACAACAGCGGGCGTAGCAAGCGGCGTGAGCGCGGAACGGTCGTGGAAGAAGCAGGCAGAAGCACCGGAGTCGAGAGTGAAGGATAGCGAAGCAGTGGTGGAGGCCGGGAACGGAGCCGGTGCAGAGACTAGGCTAGGCAAACAAGGCAGTCCTACGCCTGACGCAGCAGGGGAGGCAAAGCTACACAACGGTGCAACACCTAAACTAGAGTACACTGGGTAATAAGTCCCAGCAACACTAGAAGCGTCAGAATACAAGGCATGCAAAGCAGCACCTATCTGATCCATGTCTAACTCAAAGATTGGCACGCCCTGGCGGAGTAGGCTGTGCCAGTCGGGGTGGTCCGGGGCCGGGCCAAAGCGATGACGAAAGAGATCGTCGAGGCGGCGGAAACAGCACGTGGTCGGGTGCGGGCGGCGGCACAGCTGCCGCGAAGAGGCTCGGTCTGAAGCTGGTACTGGCAAGTGAGAGCACCGGAGCCGCCGGCAGACACCGAGCTGCGCGGGCCGCCACCACGGCCACTACCTCCGGAGGTGCCGGGCCAACCAGGCGGGAGACGGGCCCACGGCTGCGGCGACTGCTGCTGGGATGGTGGCTGCTCCTGGGGCTGCTCCTGCTGCGGCTGGGGCTGCCGCTCCTGCCCACCGGTGGTAGTCCCCTCAGGCGGACTACCGTCACCACCACCACGACCACCACCACCTGTGCCACCACTCCTACCTCCCTGGCGACCACGGCCACCGCGGCGCGAGTGCTGCTGCGGGTGGACCGCAGCAGCCGTCTCGGTGAGAGGGGTCGCCGTGGCGACCGCAACCGAAACGTCAGTGAACGTGCACTGGGAGGGGTCACAGCCGTGAAAGATAGAGACTGCTGGCGCACCGCTCGACTGAGCGATAGTGCGCTGGCGAGTCTCGATCTCGGCGAGAGTGTCGACAAAGGCGGTGAGGGTGAGGTCACCCGGGTGCTGGCTAAGGAAGTGATCGCGAGCACTAGCGAGGCGGTCTCGCAGGCGCATGGCGATAAAATAGAGCGTCATGCAAAAAGGGGGGGGGGAGTGCAGTGAGCTGGGCAGCAGTGCTGGCAGTGCGATAGCGGGTCTCTAGGGCACGCAGGTGATTGGCAAAGTCTGCGACGGTAGGGAAGGCTGCAAGGTCTGGGAACAGCATCGGGAAGAGCAAGCGGTTAGCAGAAGCAGACGCGGGTGTGGAATAGCGAGCAATAACGGCGTCTAAGTAGGCTTTGGCTGTCGCAACATTAGCAAAACGCGAGCGCTCAGACATAGGGAGGGCGTGGCTAATAGCAACGGCGAGTCTCGATCTCGGCGAGGGTGTCGACAAAGGCGGTGAGGGTGAGGTCACCCGGGTGCTGGCTAAGGAAGTGATCGCGAGCACTAGCGAGGCGGTCTGGCAGGCGCATGGCGATAAAATAGAGCGTCATGCAAAAAGGGGGGGGGAGTGCTGTGAGCTGGGCAGCAGTGCTGGCAGTGCGATAGCGGGTCTCTAGGGCACGCAGGTGATTGGCAAAGTCTGCGACGGTAGGGAAGGCTGCAAGGTCTGGGAACAGCATCGGGAAGAGCAAGCGGCCAGCAGAAGCAGACGCGGGTGTGGAATAGCGAGCAATAACGGCGTCTAAGTAGGCTTTGGCTGTCGCAACATTAGCAAAACGCGAGCGCTCAGACATAGGGAGGGCGTGGCTAATAGCAACCTGAGCGACTGCATCGCGGGAGTCCCAGACCGCACAGGCAAGCGCAGCAGTAGAGAAGGTCTCACAGTCATCAGAGGAGGGGTCAGCAGGGAGTGGAGCAGGTGCGGGGGGGCAGGGGAGCAAGCCATCGACATGGACAACCAAAGAGTGGCCATCCTGGCGCTGACCTGTGAGGTGGCGGCGGAGATCGGGGAGCCAGGCGACGAAGTCAACCGCATGGCCCTCGGCGTCCAGTCGGAGCACGAAGTCAGCCATCGTGCAGGGTCAGCGGCACAGCTCCACAGCTCCGCAGGGACACAGCGACGCAGGGACACGGCGGCAACACTATCCAGCACGGCAGCCGCGAGGCGCCCCGGCGCTGGCGAGCAGAGTAGACGGAGCTCGAGGTGGCACGGCAGGCCGAGCAGGCACGAAGAGGGGCCGCGCGGGCAGTGGGAGAGGCCAGGCAGACGCGGCGGGGCCAGGCAGGCGCGGCGGGGCCAGGGAGGCGCGGCAGGGCCTGGCGGGCGCGGCGGCGGGGCCAGGCAGGCGCAGAGGGGCCAGGCAGGCGCGGCGGGGCCAGGCAGGCGTGGCGGGGCCAGGCAGGCACGGAGGGGCCAGGCAGGCGCGGCGGGGCCAGCCAGGCGCGGCGGGGCCAGGCAGGCGCGGCGGGGCCAGGGAGGCGCGACGGGGCCAGACAGGCGCGGCGGAGCCAGGCAGGCGCGGCGGGGCCAGGGAGGCGCGGCGGGGCCAGACAGGCGCGGCGGGGCCAGGCAGGCGCGGCAGGGCCAAGCAGGCGCGGAGGGGCCAGGCAGGCGCGACGGGGCCAGGCAGGGCGCGACGGGGCCAGGCGGGCGCGACGGGGCCAGGCGGGCGCGACGGGGCCAGGCAGGGCGCGACGGGGCCTAGCACGCGCGACGAGGCCAGGCACAGCGCGACGAGGCCAGGCAGAGCGCGACGGGGCCGGAGCGGGCGCGACGGGGCCTAGGAGGCACGTCGGGGCCCAGGAGGGGCGCGACGGGGCTATGAGGCGCGGCGGGGCCCAGGAGGGGCGCGACGGGGCTAGGAGGCGCGACGGGGCTAGGAGGCGCGACGGGGCTAGGAGGCGCAACGGGGCACAGGGGGGATGCGGCGGGGCCTAGCTAGGGTACGGGCGGAAGCGGTAGGTGGGGGATTCTAACCTACGCGTGATACCATGTTAAAGTAAGAACTGAATAATGAACTAGAAGGAGAAACCTAGAACAAATACTAGTTGGTTGTACTCACTAGGAGCATACCTCAGTCTAGCCTATAACTTCTACATAGCTAATGTGTATGAGATGACACCTACAACACCAAACCTTATATCTCCCCTGTACCCCATGCTCAAGTTTACTTGGCTATTTTGATAGCGCCCTGCATTCAATTCAATCGTGCGGCTGCGCACCCGGAAGAGACTGGCAGTGGCATCCTCTATGGGGTTCACTTCACTGTGGCATTGCAGGGCCGCTCAGGTGGACTTCCCGTGACGTGAAGTAATTCAGGTGGAGCACTCACGTTGGGATTGGGACTCACAGGAGCCCGCAGTTTGTATACAAAGAATCACCCTACATTTGAACATATGTTTTCGATTACGGATTAGAAAGGCAGCTGGCACAAAGGCCAGCACTCTACAGGGGTGCTTGCAATACTACAAGGCAGAGCCCTGCATTCGATCGTGCGGTTGCGCGCCCAGAAGAGGCTCGCGTCCTCTATCGGCTTCACCGTGGCGTTGCAGGGCGGCTCGTTCAAGTCGACTTCTCGGGATGTGTAGTGGTTGAGGTGGAGAATTTCCGGTGGGGCCGTTGCCATCTCCTCGGGTGGGGCGAAAGTGTTGTGGATCGACACAGAACTGATTGCAAGTAGAGGCACATGGGAATAAGTGGAAGGAAAGTCAAGGGAAAAGGGTTGGAGGATAAGGAAATTAAAGAGAAAAGAAACTCCAGGGGGATGACTGGGGAGGAAAAGGAAGGAGTCATCCAGGGGCCAGGCAAATTGATGGGAAACATGAGAAACATAAGTGGGTTGGGCGGAGGGGGGAGGGGGTAAGGGGGGGGGGGTGGGGTTTAAAGCCCGACCGGCAGGTTGCAAGTCCCCTTCTCAAGATGCTGCACCTTGAGGCCCCCGTAACCGAGCAGCTAGCGTCAAACTGCCAAATGCTCGCGAAGGGTTTCCAACCTGGCAGGGCTGGTGATTTCTTGGAACTTGGCAGTGCCAGCCTGCCAAGTTCTTCGAGGGGAGAAATGGGACGAGTTGTGTGGGGGGTAGAAACCTAAAATTGTACTCACATTTTGGGCGGGAATTGCGAAATAAATATGTGTTTGAACCTTTTGTGTCGCATATTATCAAACTGTAGAGCGCGCCAAACCACATCCGATTTTTGTTTTCAAAACCGGTCGGGACGAGGTGCTGGTTGTGATGTCAACAGCCAACCAGTCACCCTGCAAACTTGGCAGAGCTGGGGAGGTGGTTCTCCGCCAGAGTGAGAGCTCCAAAACTCGGCAGCCCTGCCAGGTTTCCAGCCCCGCTAGCTTGCGCGAACCAACGCTGACTCTGCGAAGCCTCCCCTTCGCCAGAATAATTCGTTTTCTGTAATAATTCGTTGGCCAATCAGATTCTGCCGCCCCACCTACCTGAACAGTGCAAATATTCAACCTGCCAGGCGGGCTTTAAAACACAACACTCACTCAGAGAAGGACACCATGGGATCAAAGTAAATCAGACGGTTGTGATGCATTAGATGGTTGTAGCTATTTGATCCATGTGTCACATATTAAGACAGGACTCTTTAAAGCCGGCGTCTACATTTAGGTTGGCCACTCCCAAATGCTGACTGGCGAAAGGGAAAGTTCTGGTGAGGCGAATTTGCCTTTGTCAATTTCGGCGAGGGTGGGTGGTGCGAGATGGGAAGTCGAAATTGGAGGGGAGGGAGCAATCAAAATTGGAGGGGCGGGGGAAATCGAAATTGGGGGGAGGGATAATTCGAAATTGGAGGGGCAAAGGAAATCGAAATTGGGGGGGAGGGAGAAATAGAAATTGGAGGAGCAGGGGAAATCGAAATTGGGGGGAGGGAGAAATCGAAACTGGAGGGGCGGGGGAAATCGAAATTGGGGGGGAGAGGGAAATCGAAATTGGGGGGGAGGGGGAAATAGAATTTGGGGGGCTAGGGGCGAATCGAAATTTGGGGGGTTCGGGGGAATCTGAATTGGGGGGCTGGGGGGAATCGACTTTGGGAGGCTGGCGGGAATCGAATGATGAGTCGAATGTGGGGAGCAAGGGAGATTTTGGATCGTGTGGGGGTGAGAGGAAGGGGAAATTGGGGGCGGGGCGGGGGCTAAGGAATTGGGGGCTTGGGGGGGGATTGAAGTCGAGGGAGGGGGGAATTGAAATCGAGGGAGGGGGAGTCAAAATCGAGGAGACGGAACAATCAGTCTACAATCTAGATCCCCTCGTTCAAATGTCGAGAATCATTGGAGCCCTGGTGAGAGCGAGAGAATCCTGGCAGGTCTATGGGGTTACCAAGTTTCAAATCTTTAAATTTTGAATGCTTCAACCAAAATGTATACTCTGGCTTTTTAAGGAGTCTGCGGAGCAGTCGTCATAGTATTGCAAATCTCAGGGTTACCACACACTCGTGTGCAAGATTACAAAACAAGGAGAGTAGCGAGACAAAAATCACTCATCCTGAAATGCTAAGCTACGGACCACGAGATTAGGGAAGGGCAGGCGGGAGATTTACAGCGTGATTCAGGCTAGGTGGCAGGTCCATGGACCCGCCACAAGATAAGGAGGAGACATCTCCTTATTGCATCCTCCTATACAAGTCTTGTCATAATCCTTGAATTTTAAAATGCATTTTCAGAAATTTACATCTTGTGCCTGACTATTTGCATAGTATGGTTGAGGGGCATCAGACGGTTGATGAATTAGATGGTTGAAACGTGTCAGACGGTTGACACATACTAGTTTGTTGGACTGCAATATGCAATATGCTTCCAACCATCAGACGCATTCCAACCATCTCATGTATTTGAACCATCTGATGCATGTCACCCAACAACCAACCATCTGATGCATCTCAACCATCTGATGCACCTCAACCATCTGATGCACCTCAACCATCTGATGCACCTCAACCATCTGATGCATCTCAACCATCTGATGCATCTCAACCATGTGATGCACCTCAACCATGTGATGCACCTCAACCATCTGATGCATCTCAACAAGCAGATGCGTGTCAACCATCGGATGCTCCCTCAAGAATCCGATGCATCGTTGTCGAAAGTCTTCAAACATCAGTAAACAGCAAGGAGACATCACCAAATGGATAAAGGGTTGTTAGACATACTAGGGCAGGATGGTTTGCGGGTTGACGGCGACCTTGTTGTGCCAGCCCACCCAGCTCTTGGTGTGCCACATCGACTGGGTGCACCGCCACAAGGTGGCTTCTGAGTCGACTAAAAAACAACAAGCACATTCCCACACTCAGTAGGGCAGGGTCGTCTGCGGGTTGACGGCCACCTTGTCGTGCCAGCCGACCCAGCTCTTGGTGTGCCACATGGGCTGGCTGCACCGTCACAAGAGCCAATCTTTGAAGCACGGAAAAGTAGTGCTCATGGGGAGAGGGTCACACAACCTGCCACACTCACTAGGGCAGGATGGTCTGTGGGTTGACGGCCACCTTGTCGTGCCACCCCACCCAGGTCTTGGTGTGCCACATGGGCTGGCTGCAGCGCCACAAGAGCTTGTCGGACACTGGATCCCCGCGCGACTCCTTCTTCACTCCCCAGAAGTTGAACCGCCTCAGCAGAATCGCCTGCCATTGAAAAGAGGAGGGGGGGGAGGAGAGGAGGCGGTGGGGAAAAAGGGGAGGGGGATCAACGGTAGGTGGGGCGGTGGGGATCTGTCTGCAGCGCCACAAGAGCTTGTGGGACACTGGATCCCCTCGCGACTCCTTCACTCCTTAAAAGTTGAATCGCCTGCCACACGGAAAAACGGGAGCTGGGGGTTGGGGGGGGAAGGGGAAGGAGAAACGGAGGGAGGGGGAAGGGGGGGTGAGGGAGGGAGGGGGAGCGAGACATACTTGGAGTAGTCGAATGAGAAGTCTGTGTCCCGTGCTTCACTGTCTGCACCGTGAGTATATTCTACCATAGCACGGTCGCGCCAACCAACTCACTCCGGGTGGAAGTGTAACTACTTAAAACATGAGCATATCGCATCGCATATCGCATTATCGCATCGCAAATATCGCATTTTTGCAATTGCGATAATTTTTCCCCTGAAAATTATATCGCGCGATGCGATGAGATATTTTTCATCGCATTTTTACCGCGCCATGTGTCGTGCAATAAAAATGCGATATGCGATATAATAATATCGCATGCGATATAATAATATCGCATGCGATATAATCAATCGCAGTGTGAAATTTCGCCGGGGTTGTGTCGAATTTCCGCACTCTTTTTTTTCCGCCTGGTCAAATACTAAGTTTTTTTTCCACATGCAGTAAATGCGATGCGATATATTATCGTATCGCGCGATATATTGCACCAACATTTGCGATCTTGTTAACTATCGCACCCAAAATGCGATATGCGATATCCCAAAATCAGGAAAATTAATCGCGCGATGCGATATTTTATCGCATGCGATAAAATGCGACGCGATTAAAGCGAGCGCATGGGGGGGTTCTGATTGGCCAAGCGACAGCCCTGCGACGCAGCTAGCTCGCCCAGCAGCAAAGACAGACCTAAAAAACCAAGATCCAAAGCTTCTTGGTGTTTATTCTGTACTCACGCGCCATGGCTCCTACCCCGCCATTTTCGCCCCCAAACACAGCGCCAACCGCCAATTCCATTGTGCGCCGCAGATAGCCCGGTTTATCAGAGAAAGCCCCCACCACTGCTGCTGAGCGTGGCCAGCTTAGGCGCGGTCCCGCTATCTCGCGATCCCGCTTTGCACACCACTCCCCCTCCCCGCTATCCCGCTTTCTCGGGTTCCTGCTTACCCTGGTGACTGGTCCCACCTTCTCCCCTCCGCTTTCCCGCTTCCTCACTTCCCCGCGTTTCGGTGATCCCGCGTTTACCCGGTTTTCCACGACCCCGTTTCCCCGGTTTCCCGTGGCCCCGCTTCCCCTCTTTCCGGATCCCCCGCTTTCCCGCCTACCTGCTTCCCCGCGACCCTGCTTTCCCGCTTCCTAGCTTCCACGCTCTCCCGGCCTGGAAGGGCATCTGCTGCCTGTTTCAAGCGCCGTCGCCCATCGCTGCCCGCTTGTCGCTTCCCGCCGCTGCCTGTGCGCGCTACCCGCAGCCCGCGAAACACTTTCCCCTCCCCCACCACGCGCGTCCCACTCCCTGCTTCCCGCTGCGCTCATCCCTGCCTTTCCCCTAGCATATCCCTGCCATGGTGCGCGGCATGGCATGGCATGGCATGTGGTGTTTCCATGTGCCCATAGAGGGGGGAAGGTGAGCTCAGAGAGGGGGGGAAGGTGAGCCCGGAGAAGGGGAAGTCCCGCTCTTGTGTGGGGGAAAGGTGGGCAAAGACAGGGGGGAAGATGAGCACTGGTTGGGGGGGGAAGGGTGAGCTCAGAGAGGGGGAAAGTCCCGCTCTGTTGTGGGGGGAAGGTGGTCTGTGCCACGGGGGAAGATGAGTCCTGGGGGGGGGGAAGATGAGCCCTCGTTGGTGGGGGGAAGGTGAGCTGAGAGAGGGGGGAAGTCCTGCTCGGTGTGGGGGGAAGGTGACGACAGACAGGGGGGAAGGTGAGCTCAGAGAGGGGGGAAGGTGAGCCCAGAGAGGGGGGGAAGTTCCGCCCTGGTGTGGGGGTAAGGTGGGCACAGACAGGGGGGGAGATGAGCCCTATTTTGGGGAGGGGGGGGGGGGGGGGGGGTGAGCTCAGACAGGGGGAAAGATGAGCTCTGCTTGGGGGGGGAAGGTGAGCTCAGAGAGGGGGAATATTCCGCTCTGGTTTGGGGGGGAGGTGGGTTCAGACAGGGGCGGAAGGTGTGCTCTGGTTGCGGGGGGAAGGTGAGATCAGACAGGTTCCTGCCTGGTTCCTTAAACCAAGCCAATCCCTCCCTTCCCTGCCTTCGCCCCACTACCCTCGTCCTGCCTCTGAACCCCTTCCTGCCCTGCTTCTGCTCCCTTCCCGCCCTGCTTCTGCTCCCTTCCCGCTTTGCCGCTTACTCGCTTCCCCATGCTCTCGCGTCCCGCTTCCCCGCTTCCCCAGTTTCGCGCTGCCCCGCTTCCCCCCTTTCCGGCATCCCCGCTTCCCCGCCTCCCAGCTTCCCCGCTTCCTCGTTTCCCCGCTTGCCGGCTTTCCCGCTTCCCCGCTTCCCCGTATCCCATACGGGCTTGCTAGCCTGAGCTGTCCCCCCCCTAACCCATGCTCTTCCCCCCGACCCATGCTCCACCCCTGACTACCCCATCTCCCGTGCTCTCCCCCCCTCATTCACACTGCCCCCGCCTCCCGCCTCCCGCTTCCCGCTTCCCGCTTCCCGCTTCCCGCTCAGAGGGCTTTTGTCACTCGGGAAAGAGGGGGGGTGTGGGGGATAGAAGGCTCTGGAGGAGGGGGAGGGAGGGCTATGTATGGAGGGGGAGGAGGGCATCGGAGGGGGAAGGGATGACTCTGGAGGGGGAGGAATTGGCTCTGGAGGTGGGGAGAGGAGGAGGAGGGCTCTGGAGGGGGAGGGAGGAGGAGGGCTCTGGAGGGGGGGAGGGCAGAAGGAGGGCTCTGGAGGGGGGAGGGGAGGAGGAGTGCTCTGGAGGGGGGGAGGGGAGGAGGAGTGCTCTGGAGGGGGGAAGGGGAGGAGAGTGCTCTGGAGAGGGGGAGGGGAGGGAACTGCTGGGGGGGTGGAAAGAGGGCTATGGAGGGGGGGAAATCTGGCTCTGGAAGGAGGATCCCCCATACTCGCACCCCCCTACCCCTAGCTCGTGCTCTCCCCCCAATCACCCTTGCTTTCCCCCTCTGCCACATGCCCTCCCCTCCCCCCTGCTCTCTCTCAAGCGGTCCTTGTATTGATCAAAACGTTGGGAAGTATGCAAAAAAGAATGAGTTCTTTTTTGCATACTTCCAACCCCCCTCCCCATCCCGCCGCAGTGGCAGGGTTTGTGGCAGAATGAGGGATCAAGGCTTGCAGGGACATGGCTGGGGCGTGCGAGGTGGTTAATAGATTCCTGTCGCTCGGCTAGCAAAAGCGCTCTAGTTGCTTTGCTGCTCATAACATGAGCTCGCGTTCTGTTTTTAGCTACTTGTGAACTTAGAAAGTCAGGGCTCTGTTGCCCTTGAAATCTCATGTACTTTTTCATTTTCTCACAATGTCCTCACATATTTTAACTTTACATTGTAAAGGCTTGTCATAATACTTTGACGGTTACTAGCAGTTACCTTACCGGGCCATTACTAGTTTACTGTTCCTTCTTGCTGGAACAGTTTGAGAGTGACAAGTTTGCCAACCATTTCCCCCAACTGCCAAAAGGACTGGTGAGGGCTGTGCGACCTCGTCAGGTTGCGAGCGCCCTCGTCAGTCCCGTTTCGTTTCGCCACTCCAATTTCCGTCTCGCTAATTCGCCCATCAGAACTCAAGATTCAAGGTACTTTGAAACTTGAGTTTATTCTGTTCGCTCGCTTTAAATATCGCATCGCATTTTGCTCATGTCCTACCTAACTTACGTGCTATCCTCGCTAGAAGCAGCTTTGAGCAGCATCCAATGCATTGAATTTTTGACCCTACGACTCACCCGGAGTGGCGATCTGCTTCCCGGATCGCGCATGTGGTTGACCTCTATCCTCGCTAGAAGCGGCTTCAAGAAGCCGCCAGCTGACGGCGGGTACCAGACGAACTCATCGCTGTCGATCTGCAGCTGCCACCTGTCGCCCAACCGCCGCCCCAGCATCATGCAGTGCTCGAACGATATCACCTGGTCGTAAATGTCTGGGAACTGGCTGGGGGAGGGGGGAGGAGGGGGGGAGAGGGAAGGGGGGGGCGGAGGGTATAAGACTTATTAAAAGCATGGACCGCCGCCCCAGCATCATGTAGTAGTCGAACGATATCACCTGGTCGTATATGTCGGGAACTGGCTGGAGGCACAAGCGGGTACAACAAGGCATGGGGAAATGAAGAAAGTAACAAAAAAAACTAGATGAAAGGTACTTCTTCACCTATTCACTAAATGCATACAAGTAGTACACCTACTGCCATACCAGGCGGCAGGAACGACACACAGTCCCACCACACTGGAAAGCACACACGCACTCAGTGGTGGTATGCACCGCACAAGGTAGGCCGTCACCAAATGGGCAGGCAGACACCCCACAGAACGCACCTGCCGTATGCCTGGCTGGGCACCACCCACATGGGAGGAGGCCAGTCCCTAGAAGGTGCACTCACCGCGTACTTCTTCTTGCCCATGCCCTCGCCCGTCAGAGATTGCTGCGTTCGGAATACCCACCCCTAGTGAAGGTGCACTCACCGCGTAAGGCTTCTTTGCCCTTGCCGGCGTACTGCCCTGGCGATAAAACACCTCGCTCCAGGGCGGAAACGGCACGTGAACACCTGCCCGCGGGCGATGTACGGCCAGAGCAGCGCGCGCTTGTGCATGGCGTAGCGGTCGTACACATAGATGCGGTCCACGCCCATGAGCAGAGACACATCGATCCACTCCAGTAGGCGCTCGTCTGACACTGCGGTGTTGTCGGAAAAATCTGCCGCGTGTGCAGGGGGCGCAGACAGATGGAAACCGCTCCCATGCCGGCCCCTTTCGCCTTTCTTCCCCGCCTTTGCTGCCGCCTGCTGCTGCTGGTGCTGCTCCTGATGCTGCTCCTGCTGCTGGTGCTGCTGCTGGTGCTGCTGCTGGTGCTGCTGCTGCTGCTGCTCCTGCTGCTGGTGTTGCTGCTGCTGATGCTGTGTCTGCTGCGGCTGCTGCAGTTAGGGAGTCATTTGCCCCTTCGGTCCCAAGTCCTATACTGATCACACTGCTGCTGCTCTTCATCCTCGTTAGTAGGTTCATCCTCACAGCTCACAAGCAAGTCTTCTGAACTCTCCATTTCCCTACCGCCGCTCCCAACCCCTCTTTCCGTGCCATTCACCCCTCCCTCAGCCGCCCCTAGAAACTTCGCCAGCTCCGAACCACCTCCCAAGCCTGAAGCACCACCGAGCCTCCAGCACTCCCTGAGCCTCCAGCACTCCCCGAGCCTGCAGACCCCCCGGAGCTAGCACCACCCCAGCACCCTCAGCCGCAGCAGCAGCCACAGCAGCCAACTCCCGCTCAACTGCAGTGAAGGGAAAGGGCGGGGGAATGGAGGGAGGGACGGGCCAGGCAGCAGCAGTGGTGGTGTGGAGAGGGGAGGCGGAGAGGGAGAGCGAGTGCGGGGAGGAGGCGAGGGTGCGCTTGTCGTGGTCGGCGCGGCACAGCAGCAGCGGCGCCATGCGCAGGTCGGCGCCAGCCTCTGCCGCCACCAGCTGCACCTGCACCTGCTGCCCACGCTGCACGCCCCACCGCCGCCCCTCCACCGTTCTCAACCGCTCTGGTAACGACGCAGGGGGGTCAGTTGAGAGAGAAAGGGAGTCGGATGATTCGTTTGAGGCTGTCTCGTTAGAAGTAAGCTCGGTGTATGGTGGGAGTGGACATTCTATAATGTTGTGCCAGAGGTAGTTGTTTGCTGCCACGGCATTCACGATATAAGCAGGCTCAAGCGATTGCATATAAGCGTCGTGGCCGGGCCAGATGAGGCACTTGAGCTTTAACTCCCCTGGGCGAAAAGGTCACTGAACTCCGCCTCGCCCCACCCCTCCCACTGCGACTTTTTTATCGACTCGTCGTCCTCTAAAAACGCAAGGAATCGCAGGGTCGTCGCCACCGAACCTGCGCCGCCCCCCTGCCGAGCCTCTGCTTCGTGCCGAGCCTCGGCGTCGAAGACGGTGAGCTGCGCGAAGCGGTTGCCGAACTCCCTCC